CCTTAACGACAACTCTAAACCACAATGGATATGAGTTAGAGCAGAAGGTAACAGAGATCTCACCAGGCATAGTGGTGCATGCCTATAACCTCAGCAGTCTGGGAGGCTGAGGCAGGAGGATCACAAGCTCAAGCCCAGCCTGGACAATTTAGTGACTTAGACCCTGTTTCCAAACAGTCTTTTTATTTTTTGGGAAATAAAAATAGGGGGCATGTGAAAGTCCTGGGTTCAGTCTTCAGTACCACAAAGAAGGAAAGAAGAAAGAACAAAGAGAAAGAACAAAAGAAAGAGAAAGGAGAAAAAAGAAGAAATAAAAAAAGAAAGAGAGATCTGTATAAATCAGATCTGCATAAAGCAGATCAGGTACAAAGACAGCACAAAGCCATAAAGGCTATCAGGCAAATAAGGTCCCTTTTCACAGAGGCCAACCCACAGAGTGCTAGGGACCAGAGCACGGGTAGGAAGCCTGCAGGGAGAGAGAAGCAGTGGCGAGGCGCTGGCAGTGAGAGGGTTACCGAGGCTTCTTCCTCCTGCCTCCCAGAGTCTCTCTCGGGAGCCACTGGCCGCCGTTTGTTACCCAAGCCTCCAGAAGACTCTGCCGCCAGGGAGGGAGCAAAGCTGCTGAAAGCCTTCCTTTCAATTATTTAGCAGCTGGAGCTTCCTGGCCCCGGCTGGAGCCGGAGAAAGGCTCTGGCCAGAGCCTCCAGGCTGGGGCCGGCTGGGCTGGCGCGGGCGGGAGACTGGTTCCAGGAGGGCCAGGCAGGAGAGAGAGGCCGGGCAGGTGTTGGCAGGCACCCTGGCACCGTGCTCGGGCGTCTCTGCAGTCCCTCTCCTGTCCTCCTCCTCTTTCCAAGCTCAGGCTAGATCCAGCCGTGCCTGCACAGCCCTTGGCCTGTCTCCTCCTCTGCAGACTCTGTCTGTGCTGTTGGATGAGGAGTGGCTGGGCTGGCGAAGTTCCCAGAACAGAGCTGGTCTACGTGGGGCAGGCAAGGCCGGGAAGATGAGCAGGAGGAACCCGGCAGCCTGGCTGGTGCGTGGGATCTGGACAGCCCTTCCGGCCCCAGGCTACTGCCTCCTGCCTCACACGCTGCTGCAGTCTGCTCCTCCCTGGAACACACTGGCCTGGGCTGTTCCTCTCCAGCCTGCTGTGTGAAGCCTTCCCTGACCTCTTTGGTGGATGTCCTGGGAGATGTGACACTGCTGTCCCCCTCTGGTGGCCACTCTCAGCTCTTACCTTATTCTATCCTGTCTGCTCCTAGGCCGGTTGAGCTTCTCTAAGGGCAATGACTGGGCTGGCGCCCAGCACAGGGCTGGGCACTGGGCGGCTGTCTGTGAATGTCCGGTGAAGTCCATCTTACGTTTGCACAGATGGGGAGCTCACTACTTGTATTTCACCACTGCCATCTCCAGGGACTTTGATGTGAAAGATCCTTGGTCACTGCTCTCAATATACCCAGAATCTCTGTGCGTCAGCACTGCATGGCCACATTATCATTTACTTTGCAAGAGTCCTGATCTGTCTCTGAGCAGATGAGAAAGACTTGCCCGGCCCCTAGGCCCCTGCCCATCGGCTGAGGGCGCTTGTCCCTGTTGCTCCATCTGGGACTCCCAGAGCAGAAGTCTGTCTGAAGACCCTCAGGACAGGGAGGCCTCAGCTATGTGCTCCCTGCAGAAGGATCACAGACCAGGTCATACAGCCCAGAAGGGACCAGTGCAGGCCACTGTAGCCCAGGACAGGCTTCATACAGGTGGGACAGGCTCAGCCAAACTGGGAACTCAGACGTGCTACCTTTTAGGACAGTCGGGAGCCTCACTCCAGCCTTTCAGGTCAGGGGGCAGCTCAGAACAGCCAATCTGGCTAATGCACACAAGCAGCCCTGCGTAGACCGGCACCAACTCCGGATAAACCCTTGATGCTTCAGTCTACCTGGCCCATCCTGCTTCTCTTGTGGCCGTCAAGGAAGCTGTCCTTGCCTTCCATGGCACTGTGGAGAAGCCTACTCCTGGCAGCCTGAGCAGGGACAGAGATCTGGGGGTGGGGCAGAGGCAGCTCAAAAGAGCAGCTTCAGCTTAGCCATTGACAGCTGAGCTGTCACAGGCCCTGGGGTGCCCGGAAGTGGTGATCCTTGGCTCAGGAGGGTGCAGCCAGGAGGCCTTGCACCGAGGCTCTGTGCTCCTGCTGACCCTCCCAAGCTGGCCTCTGGGAAATCGGAGGCGCTCATGTGCTCTCCCCAGCTTCCATCGCTTCCTTCTCCTCCCCAGGGAACAGACAGTCCCTGTCACATGGTCACACCGGGGCTGAGAAGGCAAGATGGGGTAAGAACTGCGCAACCGGACCTGCTGGTTTCCCTTCCCTGGACAGCATGAAGATACATCCAGGGGGGCTGGCAGTCCAAAACTGAGACAAGTCAAAGTGAGAAGTGATATGGTCCCCAGGCCCCAGCTGCAGGAACTAGCAACAGGAATGAGGGATGCTGGACAGACAGGCAGACCCCTTCCACCCATTTGGGAGGGTGCCAGGAGAAGCCAGGGGCAGCTGCCACCACTGCCCACACAATCTCATTATGGAAAATTCCCTCTATTGACTCAGCTCTAATCAGGCAGGCTGCCCTGGGCATCCCCCCCAGGTTCCTGCTGGGCCAGCTGAGATCAAAGAGAGAGCCAGAGAGAGCTGGGCTGGGGGCTGGAGCATCGCCTGCCTTTCCCATCGATCCAGATGCGCCTTTCGTTGCTAGGCAACAGCCTCCAGTCTCTCCCAGTCCTTCCTCCCCCAGGGGCTGCAGGATTGGGCAGTAAAGGGGGAGAAACAGAGAAAGAGCCCCCACATTCATTTTCTGTGACTTCCCTTGTCATGCTAGAGATTTCTGTCACCAAGCTGAGAGCTTCTCCTTTTGCTAGAGAAGCAATGTCTTTATTTGGGGAGCTTGACCTTCCCACCAAAATAGTCCCCTCTCTCTCCTCACGTTTGTAAGTATCTGCATTATTCACAAAATCCACATCTCCTCTGCTCCATACAAGTAAGCACACTCATAGGAAGACAGGCCCAAGACTCACGATGGAGGGAGCTGGGGGCCAGGGAGGGGCAAGGACCCCGAGTGGGAGCACTGGGCAGACTCCTGACACCCAGTCTGGTGTTGGATTTAATGTTGGAGCCGTTTGATCTCAAGAGAATAGCACTGGAGACAGATTCACACTCCCATATTTGAGTGGGTTGGCTTTTTTTTCCTCCTAAAACGTAGGATGTATTTCATAGTAGTTTTTTTGTTGTTGTTTCAAGTGGTATAATTTAAAACTATAAACTGTGTTTTTAAATAGGCATTAAAATGTACTGCGGCTTTGAGGGGCTGTAATTGACTAAATAATGCAAATCTGATCATTTTATCACAGTTTAATATTTTGCATATTTTACCTACCCTATACTGCTCATCTTTTTTTATTTAAATCAGGGAATATGTGTGCTGCATCCCAGTTTTTGTTATGTGGTGACCTACTTATATTGTGGTTTATTTAGGATTTTAAGGTGTCTCCCCCTTGGAGATCTTTACAGCCCTTGGAGATGCAGGAAAGGAAGCTTTTTGGTTTTTCCCCTTATCCCTGTCAAACTGTATTTATTTTTAATGCAATGAAGGGGGAGAAGAAGAGGTGACGAGGAGTCCAAGTTCTCTCCTGAGCTCTGCCAAGAGGTGCCCAGTCTCTGGGAGTGACCTTGGTGCCTTTGGTCCTGTCTCTTTCTGTCACCTGCTCACATTCAGCTCTACAAAGCGGTGACAGTTTGTCCCCAACTCCTCTGCCCAGTGCCAGTCACACACTCCAACTCTGAGAGGCATGGCTTTCAGGGTCCTTGACAAATGATAACCAATTAATGTCAATTAATCTGATTAGCCTAAATAGTTAATTAAGCATTTAATTAACAACATCATTGACAATAACCCACGGCTCCCAAGGGATGGCGGGTGGGAGGCAGGAATGGTGAGTGGGGGCAGCAGGGAGGTTCTCCTGGTTCTGGGAATGGGTGAGCCTCTTCAAATCATAGTGGGAGGGAGGACAAGTCCTGGAGCACTGGCCTCTCTGAGCTGCCACCCAGCTCTGCTAATAGCCCAGAATCTTCATCAGGGTGCTGGCACTGCCCAGCCACAAGCCCTCAGCTAGGGAAAGGGTGAATCTTCTATGGGAGACACAGAATCTCAGCGTAGCAGAAGGGGAGACACAGCCTTGTGTCTGGGAAGGGAGTCCTTGTCTCTGCTACCAAGGTTCCCTCCCCAGGCCTAGTACCTCATAGCGTATAACCTCCATCAGAGAGGCAACTGTCACCTGTCAACCCATCACACAGATGGGAAAACTGAGCACCTCTGCTGTACCAGCCCTGAACTTGCACTGGGGACCAATCAGTCCAAGGCACCTTGGAACCAGGTAATCACCATGTTTGCACCACTTTTTTTTCCTCCCAGTACTGGAGATTGAGCTACAGTCCCAGCACTTTCTAATATTTGAGACAGGATCTTGCTAAGTCAATAAAATGCCCATGCTTGGGTGTTTGAATTTTTGATCTCCCGCCTCAGCTTCCTAGAGTTCTGGGATTATAGGCATGTGCCACCACATCCAGCAGTTGTACACTTCTGAGCTGGGGGATGTGGGTGACACCGAGAACCTCCCCGTGCTTCAGTTCCCCTGGCTGTGACCTGCCGACTTTGTAGGATGCTGTGAGGAGAAGACGTGTTAACCCACGCAGCGGGGGCCTGGCACGCAGGAAATGCCGAATGAGATGGAAGAGCCCCGAGCAGAGGTATTAAAGGAAGCCAAGTGTGCACGGTCATGGCCCCACCCTCATACCAGCAGCACCATCACCGGGAGCCTTGAAGACTTCAGACCCCCGGCCACACACTCAGGTTCCCAGCCATCATTTGTGGTGGTCCTAGGAATCTGTTTTCTATGGACTGTTCTAGAAGTGCAGAGGCTGGCCCGCTGCCCCTGCAGATCACAGCTACAGTGGTTCTGGGAGCCCCAGGCCATGTGACCCATGTCCTGAAAAGGCACTGCGGGGGAGCCCCCCTTCTCTCCATCTGTCCAAATCATGCTCATCCTTTGGGGGTGACCTTCGGACAGCTCTGGCCTGCCCTCACCTGCTGGAAGCAGCCCTTGGGTCCCGTGCTGCCCAGAGGACAAAGGTGGAGCCCCTCTCCCCTCCCCGCTGCTGACTTCTCACCACACTGCTCCTCACATTCCTGGTGCCCCTTTCTTCCCTGCATCCATCCCTGCTCCTGCTGTCCCCTCTGTCAGAAATGCCCTTCCCCTCCGGCAAACCTGCACTGTGATGAGGCCCATCTGTGAAGCCAGCTCCAAAGTCAAGCAAAGCCCTGGCTGTCCCCGGATGCTCCTGTGTCTCCAGGAGTCTACACAGAGACACTGCTGGCTTCTGAACCCTGCTCCTTCACGCAATGAGGCTGCTCCCACCTGTACTGTCCTGCTCCTCCCTTCACCCAGTGCCAGGGGTGGCAATGACCGTGGAGCCTTTAAGTTTACAAGCGCTGCTGAACTAAGGTTTGATGAATGAATGAATGGATGAATGAACGAATGAATGTGTCCGCTTTCTGTTGTTTACACAGCAGGGGACTTCCGCTGTCCAAGAGCAACCTCCCCTCGCTCCCCATAAAAAGAAGCAGAAAAGAGAAGGATGTTTTGAGGAAAATAAAGGGTCGGTTGCAAGTGCCAAGAAGCCTGTGTCAAACAGCGCCAGGTGAGGGAGAGGGGACAGCACTGCTGAAGAGAAGGACCTGTCAAGTGTCCCAGCTTTGTTTCTCCTTGGAGATCGCTCTCATAAGGGAAGGTAGCTCCGTCTGTCCTGAAGCCCACTCCCCAAACCCCAGGACTGTCTGATGCTAAGGGCTGTGATGTGAGTGGGGGCGGGGATGGGGCAGGCTGCCCATCTCCACCCTATCTGTGTCCCTAGCCATGGTTTCCTGCCTAGCCCGGAGTGCACGCATTCCTCGGTTTGGACAAACGTCCCAGAGGTCAGCACCTGGCCCTCTTCCATTGTGCTGTCACCCTCTGCACAGATGGACAGGGCAAGCTCCCTCACCCCGGCCTCTCCGTGCCTGACGCCGCTTCCTTCACCCTCTCCCTGGCCCTGCGGTGGTTTCTGAAGTGCAAGCCTGACCATTCTACCAAGAGGCCTCTGTGCCTCTGGGCCTCTCCTTGCTTTCCAAATAAATTCGCAGCTCCTCCCACCTTTTCAGTGTCCTCAGATAATTCACTCTCCCTTTTGCCCAGCCAGGGCTTTTCATACCTTTGTGTCCTTGCCAGACTGTTTTCCAGAGTGTTATTACTCTGGCACCTTCCTGTCAATCTTCAAGGCCTGACTGAAATGTCACCTCTGCCAGAAGCCTCCTCTGGCTGTGCACATCCCTGTGGAGAACTTGGTTCCAGACAACCCAACTGGGTTGCCATGGTCCTGCCTCACTGCTCTGGTTGTCCCTCAAGGTCAGGGTCATTGTCCCTCAGAGCTCACATTGCACCCAGGAAATAGGAGGCACTCACTAAATGTAGATTGTATGGTGACCTGTATGGTGACCACTGTCTCTCAGAAAAGCACTGGATTTGAACCTTCTCAAATACTTTTTCTTTTTCTTCTTCTTCTTTTTTTTTTTTGGTGAGACAAGGTCTCACTGTGTAGTTCAGGCTGGCCTTGAACTCACTATGTAGCTCAGGTTGGCCTCAAATTCACAGAAATCCTCCTGCTTCAGCCTCCCAAATGCCAGGGAGGCTGTATATCACCACCCCTGGCTCTTTCAGATGCTTTGAAAGCTACTTCTTGAGTCACTTATAGGGAACTAGGAGGCAGGTAGTATTATGCTCAGTGCACAGGAGAGAAATCAGACCTGAGGGTACAGATAGCACTTGGCTGACATCAGAGCCCAGGATATTGGGAATCGCCTGATTCCAGCTCTGAGCTCTGTCCTCTGAGGTTTTGCTGTACCCATGCTCTCCTCAGGGAATGGATGACCTCTCTTGCCACCAACGTGGCCAGTCCCACCTCTTCCTGGCAAAGAGTACTGAGTAACCAGGCTTAGCTCTCTCTGGCAGACCTGACACAGGTCACACAGCCATCCTCTTTAAAGGGATCCCACAACCAGCAGACCTCAAAGCTGTGTCCATCCAAGAAGAGGGGCAGCGTAGGCTCTCTCCTGAGCACCAAGGTTCCCAGGCTCAGCTGGTAAGTGGTTTGACCCCAGTGCTGGGGGGAAAAAACATGCTTTTTGAAGAATCTTTAAGGACAGCAGAGAATATTCATGACAGGGGAATAAGCAGAGTCCGACCTCTCCTGACAGCATGTGCCCATTGTTTGGCTCTATGGATCTATGGACACGTGGGAAAGCCTGCAAAGGAGATGCCCTATTCATAGTGCTTGTCTTGGGATGGTGTGATTCTTGATTGTTTTCTGTATTTCCAATTCTTGTGTAACAAAACCTGCCGTTCTTAAAAGAATTCAACGCAACTTGCTCATCCCTGCCTCCACCCTGCAGGGTTCTGGGGATGAGGTGGGGAGGAACCTGAGTGCCATAGCTTCCAGCTAGGGGTAACTGGTAGCCACCCAGTACCCTTCAGAGGCCCCGGCAGGATGCTGAAGGAGCCAGGCACTGCCCGCCTGCTTCAGCTGGCATAGCAGCCTCTGCAGTGGGCAGGAGGCCAGGGTGAGGGCGGCCGAAAGCTGAAGCCAGGCTTCCTGCCGAGGAAGCTATGCTGCAACCCCACAGGCTGCTGGGCTGTGTGATTTTAGCTACAGGGCATCCCTCGGGGTCGGGGGACCCTCGGAGCCGGGATCTACGTGGCCACCGAGGGAGGCCTCTTTCTCAGGCTAATAGTCATCCTGGACTTAGCTCATTTGCTCCTGGATCCCCATTCTGTGTGACACAGAGCCAACAGTGCTGGGCCTCTGGGGCCAGAGTCATCACTGCGCTGTGCTCAGGACCCAGAAAAAAATGAAAAAGCAGGAACTAGAGGTGTCAGCACATGGTAAGTCACAGGAAGTCCCAGGCTGGCCCAGGCTGGGTCTGTGGTTGGCGGTAATGAGCTTTTCCCGTCTACATAGCCCCCCACTTCCCCGCCCATGTTACTAAACTCCTTCCCATCGTCTGTCTCCTCCTTACTCATTGACCTCAGCTCTTCTCTGAGTGCTACCTTCTCCCCACTGAGGCTTCTGCCCTTCAGTGGGTCCCCCTTTCGGGTCCCATCCTCCCTTATTTCTGGCTCTCCACAGAGCCAGGCAGTTGAAGGAAAATGGGAGACACTCACTAAACATTGATTGCGTTTCTCCTGTTCTTCTGGCCCTCCCCACTGACCTGGACTAGTTGCCCACCCCCATCAGTTGCAAAATCCCTTCTCTCCAAAGCACCATGAATCAGTGTCAGTCACTGCACCCCTGTGGCTTTTCTGTGTCTGTGCATTGAGGTCTTGGGGGGCCTCCTGGGCTCTGGAGGACAGCTCTGGGGGGGGGGTATAAGGAGGACATCTTTAGTGTCTCTGTGGATTACTTTGAACTCAGGGCCAGGAAACACCTTATCTTGGCTCAGCTAGAGTCCTGAGATCCTCATGTCAGTTATGGGACCCCCCAGGTGGTTTTCCCTTTCAGTTACTCCAAACTGGTTATTGGGAAAGACAAGTGAATTTGAAATCTGAGTGAGAATAAACCTTCAAACACTGGAGGTGACTTCTGTCTCTGCTTATGGAACCACAGGCTTCCTAGAGCAGAGAGAGCTTAAAATCTTGGTGCTAGTGGGCTTTGGGGGGCTTACCTACTGAACTTCTGTCATCTTATGGTCAGGGATACAGACCCAAGATCACACAAGAAAACAAGGTCAGAGCTGTGTCTATAAGGAAGCTCCTTGGATTTCTGTCCCAGATCACAGTTCCTCTAGTACATGCCACTTTCCATGACCCCTGCTGGCCTGCAGTGTCCTCGCTGACCCTCACCCAGGAAAGCTGGAGAATCGGGGATGGTGTGGTGTTGCAGAAACCACCTGAGCCCCCAAAATGGTGGGCTTGGGTTACACCGAGACCTTGCTCTATGACCTTGGAAAGTCACATCACACTTCCGGGCCTTGTTTTGCTCTTGTGTAAAGGGAAGATGGCAGCAGTTATGCACCAGGTTCTGTGAGGATGACATGAGGGCTTGGATGTGTGTCCAGGAGTTAGGAAGAGAAGCTGCGCTCTGCTAACCGCCTCATCAGCACCCCTGGCTGGATTCTAGGATAGGAGGAGCTACGACTCTGCCCCTGGGAGCAGTGAGGGTGGAGGAGAAGATGCGGGCAGCAGAGGTGTCTGACCCCAGCAGTGCTGGCAGTTGATTGTGACCATGGGCCATCTCAGGGGATGGAGGTCAGCCACTTAGAAAGGAAGAGGCATCGCCAGCTTGCCAAGGTCAGCAAGAAGCTGCCAGGCAGAGGTGATGGGCTGTAGGGACAGCAGTGAGCAAATGGACCTGGACCTGACTCCCCTTTGGGAGGCAGGACAATGGCGGGGGGGGGGGTTGCAGTGGGGGTGTGTGGCTTTCAGACTAAAGCACATTCTACTTCAAAATATCCTGGTGACCTTGGGAGAGCTGTCTCCTCACTGCACTGCACATCCTCACCCATATGCCTCAGGCTCCCCACCTGTGCGGCTGGCACCATGAATCAAGAAACTGGCATTTAACTGGGCCTTGATATAAAGAAGTTGAGACAGGTTGTCAATAACACTTCTGCCCCTGGGAAGGTAGCTCAAGTGGCTCCATGACCTTGGGAAAGTCACTCAAACCTTCTCTGTCAGTTCTGAAAAGGGACAATGATGCCTTCCTTGGGGAGCTTTTGTGAAGATAATGTGAACCAACTGTGCCCCACACATACCCTGGTATGATGCCCTCCACCAACATCCACCTCCTCTGGGAAGAAAAAGATATGCTTTAAACACTACTGAACCCTTCCCACCGTGTCCAGCTTCTCTCTTAGCAGTTCTTACTCATATTCTATGTACTAACACTCGTCCAGCACCATACAGCTTCAAAATAGTTTCCCATGCATTATGTCAAGGATATCTTTTGAACAGCAGAACCAGGCTCATAATGCTTAAGTGGCTCATGTGAGGCCATATAACCTAGATCTGATCCCATGTTTCTCTAACTTCAGAGTTTATGACTCTTGACTCCCACCTCTGGAAACCCAATCCATTCTTTAGTCACTCTTCAAGAATTCCTCCTCCACCCCTCACAGGAAAGTGGGATGGGGCATAAAGTTAGAGAACCAAAAAGCTGGTGTTGTGTGGGAGCAGTTTCATAGTCAACTTGGCCCTATTTCTGGCTGAGGAGGAACCTGCCACAACCTGGAGCCATGACCTTAAGATGCACCCTGGACAGAGAAACTCTGGCCCTGTCCTGCACTCCATCAAAGTACCTGCTTTTTCTCTTGATGCAGGACAAAAGACCAGCCAAGGCCTCCCTTGGTGGGCGCAGGTGGGTAAGCGAGGTCCTGGGGAAGTGAGAAGTTACTCCTGGGACAGAACACAGACACTGGATACCAGGCCAGGATTGGTGCCTCTCTCTTGATCTCCCCAGCTCTTTCCTCCCAATGCACCCCTTGCCAGGAGCAGAAACTGCAGGAGGCTTTGACACTGTGCAGTCGAGAGTCCTGGGAAGGAGAGGGAGGAGGTGGCAAAGAAGAAGCTGTGTCTCTTTTCTCAGCTTTCATCTCTACCAGGAATTTCCATGGGGCTGGGCCCACTCCAGGCTCTAGAAACTCTCCCTGAGCATCCAGAGAGCCTGCCAAGAACCCTCCTCCCAAACTCCCAGTGGCTATTTTCTCATCTGGGTCCTCCATCGGTTTCCCAGTGTGAGAGTAAATGCCAGCCTGTGTGAGACCCAGTTCTCATTGCCAGCTCCTGCTTCCCCCAGGGGCGTTTGGGTAGCTGGGAAAGGGGCCAGACTGTCCCCTTGCCGGCAGCCCCTGCTGGACAGAGGCCCAGCATCCAGGTGGGGGCCTGCTCCCTCCACCCCTGCCAGTGACTAGCATCTCCACAGGGACCCTGCATCTAGCGCTCTCTTCTCTGAAGGTAGATCCTTCTCCTCATGGGGGGAGGACAATTGGGTTGCAGTTGGGGGGGGGGTTCCCTGGTACCTTGATGGGCAGGGGCACGGTACTGTATGCCCCAGGGTATGGCTTATGACCCTGTAGGGTTTTCACTTTCTCTATCCCTCTCAGTGAAAAACAACGTTCCCTCATCTCTGTCCCCAAGGTGACTCGAACCCAGACAGGCACTTTAGCAGTTTCCCAACGCCCACCCTTCACCCTGGGGCTTGGAGATTGGGGTCCCAGGCCCGAGGTTCAACCCAGCACCAGTCCCTCTGGGAAATTCCCCCGCCCCAGCAGGGGCTCTCACCTTCCTGATGACTGCCGCACTCTACTAGGTGCTGGAACCAGGAGCCAGGCCTTCTGGCCTCGCTTGCCCGAGCCGCCTCTTTCGCTTGGTACGGCCGGGCAGCTCCGCGGCCCTCACGGCCCCGCGCCCTCCGTCTCCCCGCGGGTGCAGCCGCCTATTGCTGAAATGCTGGACAGCGCACCACCATAGAGATGGCCTCCTGGGCCGCCCGCTAGCTAGAGCGGCATAGCACCTGCCGCTCACAGCGCTCTCTGCAGTCCTGGAGGGCCACCCGCGGCGGAAGAGAGGAGCGAGGCGTCTCACACGCCCCCACGGGACATGTGTCCCATCCCTAGCGGGAGGTGAGTGCCAGCCCCGAAAGAAGTCTGGGGCCAGGGAGATTATTAATTTGGATCTGAGGACGTCACTTGGTATGTAGAGTTCTTACCAGGACTATTTGTGCAGGTGGGGTCCGGCTAAGAGACACCCCTAGGACGTCTTTGTTACCGCGTTTCCTGGAAACTGGACGGAGGCTTTCCGCGTTGCTGGGTCGGGACTATAGGGTCCTGAGTTCAAGTTACCATTTGGTAACTCGGAGTGACTTCGGGTAGCTTGTCCCTTTTCGCCTCTTGGGTGAACAGGCTGAATGCAAGATGTTCAGGAGAGAGGGCATTGGGAGGCCGGGACATTTTTCTAGGGGGGGCCAGGAAGGTGCAGGTCCCTGTTTCACGCCCTCCAGAGGTGTCCCCCAAGGTTGTCTCAGGTGACTGGGCTAAAGGGTGCAGGACGGGCTGGCAGCGGTGGGACGGGGGAAAGGCAAGTCAGATGCACAAGTGGGCAGATTTGTTTTTCTTTTTTAAAGTACTGGCGATTGAACCCAGAGCCTTGGCAACTGAGCTACATCCTAGCCCTTTTAAGACAGGATCTCACTAAGGTACTAAGTTGCCTAGGCTGGTGCCTGAGCCTCCAGAGTGCCGGGATTACAGATGTGCACCATCACATCCAATTTGGGGTTCAGATTTTAAGAATTTGCATGACACTGAGTGCTACATTTGGGTCTCTGAGTGTGTTTGTTGTGAGTCTGCATGCCTTTGAGTTTGTGTCTGATTTTTTGGGGGGAAGTGTTTTTTGAGACAGGGTCTTACTATGCAGTTCAGGCTGGCCTTCAATTCACTTTGTAGCCCAGGCTGTCCTTGAACTCGCAGCGATCCTTCTGCCTCAGCCTCCCAAATTCTGGCTTCTATGTCTGATCTTACATTGGGCTTCTGCATCTGATTTTGTATCCATGTCTTGGAGCCTGTCTGTGTGTACTATCCTGCCCTTTTCCTCTTCCTTTTGCTAAGTTTCCTTGCAAAGCTGTTTTTGAAGTGTGTGTGTGTGTGTGTGTGTACGCATGCGCATGTGTTTAGGATTCTCACACTGTTTGTAGAACAAAGGTTGAGGGTAGGCTAAACTGCTGCAGCCCCAGATCCCCCATAGTGCATCCTCAGCTGGGCTTCTGCCTTCTGGCTGCATGAATATTTCATCTGCAGGGGCTGTGGGTGGGCAGAGCACCAGTCAGCTGCTCCCTCTGCTGGGCTGAGCCTCCCAAGGAAGAGCAAGGAGCAGGCAGATCAAGGGGTGGGAGGGGTGCCCCAGAAGGCCTGCAGCTTCTCCTCGCTGGAGGTGTGTGCTGAGTGTATGTAAAGAGGTGCAGGCAGGCCAGAGACAGGCCCATGGCATCCTGCATCTCATTCTTTAAATGAAGCTGCCTTCCTAAGACCTTGCTCACCACATTCACTTGGTTCCTGACCAGCCTTGGCTTCAAGTCTGTTTGGAGTCAGTGCCAGGGAAAGCTGCCCCAGCCAGGCACAGTGCTGCTGCCTTCTCTGCAGTCTCTACAGCCCGTTTCCTGGGCTTTACAGTCAGAGCTGCATCGGAAACCAGCATGGGCTGTGTGTGTCCGGGAGGAGGTGCAGGCTGACTTCAAGCAAATCTGGAGGCCTTGTTCCACCAAAGATGGGGGAGCCCTGAGAGCCTGGCTGTCTGTTAGTGCCAGGGCTCTCCCCTTCCATCTCTGGCTCATGGGGATAGACCTCTTCCTTGGTTTCCCTGCCCAGCCTGCCAATTTTCCAAAAAATCTGCTCTTACTCTTGTGTTACTCATTTCAACAAATGGAGGCACCATCTGTGCCGGTTTCTCTGCCCTCCTCTGCCCTGCCCTGGGCCTTGGGAGGCTGACCAGGCGCCCAGGTGTGGCTCCTGATGGGGTCATCCAAGGGCAAGCATCCTCAGAAACATGGATGATGGCAAGAGGGCGCTGTTGAACTCTACCCTGTGCAGGGTTCCTTTCCAGCTCTGGCCCAGTGGTCCCACTTCCGGTTCTAGTCCAGCTCTGGTTTTTAGTTTCCTCCCTGTGGCACTGGAAGCTGACGGGTGGGGACAGTGCCCCACCATCATGTCTTCAGCTGCTTCTCTCGCCACTGTTTGTGCATTCTTGGGTCCCCACCTGCACCTCTGTGGTGCATTCACTTAGGCTTTGAAGGGTGCTGTCTGCTTCCTCCTGGGACCTTGACCTACTGTCTGGTCTCCAAGTTAGAGCCCCATTCCTCCCTCCTTTCTGCAGACCTCACCCCCTGGAACTCTTGCCTTGTCCTCAGCCCCAGCATGTCTGTCTGGGCCCAGATTCTGTACTTTGCCCCTGCCTGGTGCCCACTCCTACATCTACTGTCCCTCTTAACCTACATCTTTCTCAGAGGACTGGCAATCAGTGGACCCTTCTAACACCTCCCCATATCAAGCAGTGTCTCCTTGCCCAACAGTTTTTCCCCTTACCTCTTAAAATTTTTTGTTGTGATAAAATATGCATAACATTAAATTTACCATTTTAACTACTGTCAGTGTACAGTTCAGAGGTGTTAATTACGCTCACATCGCTGTGCAGCCATCACCACCATCCACCCCCAGGACTTTGCTCTTCTTTCCAAGCTGAGACTCTGCATCTTTGCAACTAACCCCACCTCCTTCTTCCCCTCAGGCTCTGGCATACACCATTCTACTTTCTGCCTCTATAAACATGACCGCTCTGGGGTCCTCATATAAGTAGAATCACACAGCAGCTGTCCCTTTGTAACTGGATATTTCATTTAGCATAAGATCTTCATGATTCTTCCATGCTGGGGCCTGGGACAGGATTTCCTTCTTTTTAAAGGCTGAATAATATTCCATTGTGTGGCTAGACCGTGGTCCATTCATCTGTGGATGGATGTTTGGGTGGCGTCCATGTTTTAGCTATTGTGAATAATGCTGCTGCAAACATGAATATACAAATATCTGGCCAAATCCCTGCTTTCAACTCTTTTGGGTATATGCCCAGGAATGGAATTTCTGGGCCATATGTTAATTCTATGTTTAATTTTTTGAGGAACTGCTGAATTGTTTTCACGGCAGCTTCATTATGTAGATCCTATCAGAAATGCAAGTGCTCCCACCACTCTACATTTCCCCCAACATTTGTTATTTCCTTTTATTTTCCTTCTGTCTTTTTTTTTTTTTTTAAATACAAGTCACCATCTCAGACATAAAGTTGCATCTCGTTTAGTGACACTGAACACCTTTTTGTGTATGTACTGGCCATCTGTCCATCTTTTTGGAGGATTCTTCCTAACTTTTATCTTATTACCACCTGTCTTGTACCCAACCTCTGTGTTTGTTCTGTTTTTGAACTCTAGACCTGTGCACTGTGTGACCAAGGGCTTTGTTCATGGCCGTATCCCCAGCTCTGGCTCCTAAGCAGATGCTTAATAAATATTTCTTAGCTGGACTTGGGCTCTGAACCCTTTCCTCAATCCTTTCTCAATGCATCTTCCTCCTAGCCTCATCAGCTAACATTTGGTCCATTGGACAGTCTGCCATTTGCATTATGGGAATATCAGTGCCATAAACAAGACATTGCAAAGGAGTCTCGGGTCAGGGATTCAGGCTCGGTGCCAGAGTCTGGGGTGAATTTGTGTGGCTTGCTCCCCCTGCCCCATCCAGACATGCTCCACACAATGTGCTCCTAGTGTGGCATCCTCCGCCTCCCCCGTCCCCTCCCTCCTTTCCCCTGTCCCCTATATGCTGCTGTCCCCCACCATGTCACTTGTCCCACTTCCTCTTGTCCTTCCTCACCCACCTTCGGGTAAACACCACTTCCAGGCAACCTCCTTATCTCTGGACCTGCTCAGTCTTTCTGGGACCCCTTTACCCAGAGGTAAGAGCAGGAGATACCTGTGATGGGAGGTGAGGCCAGGCCAGGCTGGCGCCTTTCCCTCAGCATCCAGCCCAAGCTGGGAGAGTGGCTTACAGTGGCTTCGACCCACAGTCGGTCCTGCTACCACTCTAGGTCCTCCGGTGCCATTTTGTGTCCTGATCCTGAGCTCCACCAGGCAGGGCTGGATCATGCCCTTCTCTGTATCTTCTGTACCACCATGGAAGAGGCAAGAATCATTGCTTAAACCAGGTATGGTGGTACAAACCTGTGATCACCACTCTGGGAGGCTGAGGCAGGAGGATCACAAGTTTGAGCTCAGTCCAGACAATGTAGCAACTTACAGAAACTCTGTCTCAAAATAAAACATACAAAAGGCTGGGGATGTAGGTTAGTATGAAAGCCCTGGGCTTAATCTCCAGCAGCAGGAAAAAAGGAATCATTGCCTGACGCAATGAATTGTCTGATTTTGTATTTCTGCCTCCAAACCATTCTCTCTGTGTGTCTGTCTGTCTGTCTCTGTCTCTCTTCATCTTCCCCAAAGAATCTACTCCAGCTTGCCTTGTCTCTTTCTATGTGATGTGATGTAGACTCACACCTAGAGGGCACTGGCCTTGGAGTTGGCTCTTCTCTTCTAGTGCTTCTCAAGGTGTTTCCATGACCCTGTGTACCAGAACTACCTCGGTGCTTGTTAGAAGTGTGGGTGCCTGAGGACACCCATTGCAATCCGATGCTGTGTAATGAACACTCCAAAACTGAATGACTTGAAGCAACTACCATTTTGCTGTATGTTACAAATTTATGGGTTAGGAATTTGTACAGGGCCTGGTTAGGTGGCTTTTGTGGTGGCCCAGTGGGGTCCTTTGGTTTTCAGTTGCTGGAAGGGCTGTGGGCTGAAGGGTCTAGAACACCACTCTGGGGCCCAGTGGCAGGTGGTTGGGGGTTTGGCCTCTGCTCAATCTTTCTCCCTC